TAGGTGGTCACAAACCACCGAGCTGATCTCCCTGTGCTATGCGACTGCTTCCCACTAGCTAGCTATTTTACGTTTGGTAGTGTATATATGTCCATGCCACTCTCTCACTTTGTCACAGCTTACCCTTCCCTCCCCCCATATCCTCAAGTCCATTCTCTAGTAGGTCTGTGTCTTTATTCCCATCTTGCCCTTAGATTCTTCACGATCTTTTTTCTTTCTTCGTAGATTCCATATATATGTGTTAGCATACAGTATTTGTTTTTCTCTTTCTGACTTACTTCACTCTGTATGACAGACTCTAGGTCCATCCACCTCACTACAAATAACTCAATTTCATTTCTTTTCATGGCTGAGTTAATACTCCATTGTATATATGTGCCACATCTTCTTTATCCATTCATCTGTCGATGGACACTTAGGTTGCCTCCATGTCCTGGCTATTGTAAATAGAGCTGCAGTGAACATTTTGGTACATGACTCTTTTTGAATTATGGTTTTCTCAGGGTATATGCCCAGCAGTGGGATTGCTGGGTCGTATGGTAGTTCTATTTTTAGTTTTTTAAGGAACCTCCATACTGTTCTCCGTAGTGGCTGTATCAATTTACATTCCCACCAACAGAGCAAGAGGGTTCCCTTTTCTCCACACCCTCTCTAGCATTTATTGTTTGTAGATTTTTTGATGATGGCCATTCTGCCCAGTGTGAGGTGATACCTCATTGTAGTTTTGATTTGCATTTCTCTAATGATTAATGATGTTGAGCATTCTTTCATGTGTTTGTTGGCAATCTGTATATCTTCTTTGGAGAAATGTCTATTTAGGTCTTCTGCCCATTTTTGGATTGGGTTGTTTTTTTGATATTGAGCTGCATGAGCTGCTTGTAAATTTTGGAGATTAATCCTTTGTCAGTTGCTTCATTTGCAAATATTTTCTCCCATTCTGAGGGTTGTCTTTTCGCCTTGTTTATGGTTTCCTTTGCTGTGCAAAAGCTTTGAAGTTTCATTAGGTCCCAGTTGTTTATTTTTGTTTTTATTTCCTTTCTCTAGGAGGTGGGTCAAAAAGGATCTTGCTGTGATGTATGTCATAGAGTGTTCTGCCTATGCTTTCCTCTAAGAGTTTGATAGTGTCTGGCCTTACATTTAGGTCTTTAATCCATTTTGAGTTTTCTTTTTGTAACCAAAAGTATATAATTTCTTTCATTTTATTTTTTTACAATTTCTATATATGTTTAAAATCAAATATACTGGAGAAAACAACCACATCAATTATACATCAAGAAGGCCATATTCAGGAACTAACTCATTATTCCAAAAACTGGTAAGTGAAAAGAATCAAATGTATATGTTATGTCTCCCTTATGAACTGTTTAAAAAAAAACTACAAAATTGTACCTACCTCTAGCCAAAAGGAGTCCAACAACTCCAGAAAAACCAATAACACCAAGTCTTGGAAAAAATCCAGGAGGTGCATTTTGGAGATATTCATAGCTGTCTATAATAGAATCAGACCAGGAAACAGTTTTATAAATTGCTCATTAAAAAACAAAACATGTACATCAACTATATTTCAATTAAACATAAACAAAAAGAACAAAACAAAAAAGTCAAATATAAGCAGCGTATGTAGTAGCAAATGCTTTTCAAATAATGTATTCTTTGCTTTCTGTTAATATGCTTCTTTTCAACAAGTTCTTTTTATGTAAGAGATAAACATGATTTACTAGTTACATCGCAAGTATCCAATTTTCAAACACTTTTTAGCCTGATGACATTCTGACAATAAAGTAATGTTAGATTACCTTCATATTCCTGAAGGCAACAGATCTGAATCAATTATTCATAAGGGCAGAAAGACAAATACAGGAACCCCTTGCTATCCAAATAGAGAAACAGAATAAATTTGGATAAATCTTTGGATAGATCTGTCGCTATCTGAAGCTTTGCTGCTTGCTCTCTAAAATTCAGGAACCAAATACATTAGACTCAGGAAAAAAAATGTATCTTTTGCCATCTGAATTCATTATTTAAACTCAAGAATAACTCTGGATAATGAAGGAAATTTGTAGTGCAAGTATATGCAGGAAATAGTCACTGTTGATAGATAAAATAAATACAAATAAATGCAACATGTGAGTCTACTTGCCACGCCTGACCATGCATTATGACCTCATTTGCATGAGGCCGCCTCTCCTCTCCCCTGAGCCAATGCCACCAAATAAAAGCTAGCTTAAGTCCTACCTCCTCAGAAAAGCCTTTCCTATACTCATCAGCCCACACCCCTCTTTCTCCTCTAAAGTCCCACCATATTTATTTTCTCTACCGTCATTTGGTGCCTAATTGTACGGCCCTTGTTTTTAATTATTCAGGGTGTATTTTATGTCTCCTCAAAGAGAATATCTGCTCCTTAATGGTGGACTGCTTAGACTTCTATGCCATTTTCCCCCAGTGGTAAATAGTGGATGTTCACTCAACAGATACTTATTTGAAGCCCTGCTAGGAGTTAATGGATACTGAATGAATTAACAAAGGGATTTCAGCTAGGTCACGACTTGAAAAGCCTGCAGGTCTCTCAACCTCATCTTCAGCACTCCCGATCTGCTTCCAGTTCCCGGCACATGCAACACTAAGTCACCACTCCAAGTCTTGGTCATGCTGTGCCCTCGGTGTGGAATGCCTCCCAATTCCCACCCCCATGTTTTGGTGTGGCTAACTGTTCCTTCAAGACTCATCTCAGAACTCCTTCCCTGACTGCTCCCATCTCCCCAATCTCTGTTAAACTAGTCTCTTTCCTCTGTACCTTCAATGGTGGTCTACGACTGTCTCTGTATTTGTGCTAGTATTGAATACTTTATTATATGCACCTCAGTGGCTGTGACCACTGGCTCAATCAGCCTCTCTCTTCAATGCCTGCCATGATGGTGACTTAACAGACGTACATGGAACTGAATTAACTGGAATACTCAATAATTCACTCGTCTAGATAATACTAGGCATGTGCCAGTTATCCTTTTCTTGGCTTCTTTGGGAAATGTGGTGATCATTTTAAATACTACTATAGGGCTTGTGTTCTTTGCACCAATTCCTGTCTGGCCTTTTACTTATTTTGCCTTTAACCTGGTTTTAACTTTTCATCCTCTTGTCTGGGTCATTTGAGGCAATTTTCTGCTTCCCTTTATTTTTGCCTACCAGCATGGTATTTTCAATTCTAGACAGGCACACAGAGCAGGTGATAGAAGGACACCCAGATGCCTTGGTGAGCTGAGCCAAAGTGGGAAAATCACAAAGAAATGGGAAAGAAGATATGCTGTAAGACTACACTAAATATGAAGCCCAGCTTCTAGCAACATGTCTTGGCTATGACTCCTGGGAAATGGACTGGTTGCCTTGGCAGACAACAATGCAACTCATAATGGAACGTTTCTTCTTAAGTCTTTGCAGTAACTATGAGTCCAGGAGAAGAAAAACAAGACTCATATTGCAAATACTGCCTACTGCTGTGAATCAATGGGGAATGATAGGCGACAATGAAGAGACACCTCAGTCACACATATAGATAAAAGATCAGGAGTTCTTTAGCGTCCTCAGGTAAAAAATGAAGGTAGCAAAGTACCTAACTGCCAAGGTTGTTATGAGGATTGTACATAAATTAATACTTTCAAAGCACTTAGACTAGTTTCTGACACCTAATAAGCACTAAATAAGTGTTTATAAAATTAAGATATTAACATACATGAATAATTTAAAGAAGTGGTAAGCTACTAATATGTCTGTCTTCAAATGAAGAATTTACTTATATAGTAGTCTCAGCGGTATCAGTGTATCAATACTATGATAATCTTCACTAAGAAATAAATTGTACTCATGCTTATTTTATTGTCACGGAAACACTTGTAAAAACAAGAGGATGACTGGCTGAGATGTCCAATAAAGGGAATGAAATATGATCAATGTCTATTAATTTATTAGTTCCTGATATTAGTTAGAACATAGACTGTGAAACCAGTTTATGAGTGTATGTGTTAAGTGAATGTGAAAAACAATCAAAGGCGATAAAGAACAAATGAAAACATGTAAGAACACTATGAATTATGCAATAAAGCCTTTCCTAGGCACACCAGCCCAGTTTCTTCCTGCCTCTAAACTTCTGTAACATGTATTAATAGCTGTGCCAATGAGCTATCCTGATTCTGAAAACCTATAGATGAGTTAGGACATTGCACCTGGAGATAGATTTAAAGAAAGAAAATCCAGTGTATCTGCATCTGCTAGGCCAACAATCCTAATGATCTTGAAGAGACTTACCTGAGTGTTTGGGGACACTAGTTCTCTGAAATCTGATGAAAAAAATAGATTCTCTTTCCAGAAAAATCCAAATAGCTCTAAAATTCTACATACAATTTTAAGGAATTCACAGATCTCCTGGAGCCCATCCATGGCCTCTCAGTTAAACAATCCAATGTCAAAAAACAAAAAAAACAAAAAAAAAACAAAAAAAAGAATCCAATGTTAAACAAACTGATTATGCCTAATTAAAAATCGACTTACCTAACCCCCACTGAACCAAACTTTGCATCTTGGGCTTAGTTTGGGAGTACATTTCCTAAAAAGATGAGAAAAAAAAGAATTAATAGGATTTGCTGATTAGAAAGTAGCAATAAATATATTTGTCTTTACTGAATAAATTATCATGTTATTAGCACTTTCTGAACAAAGGGATATACTCTCTACCTGGGTTTTTTGTGTTGTTTTTCCTTTTCTAATTTCCCCTTCACCACAAATTGCTCAGCAGAATGGCTTATTATTGCCACAGGAAGCAAACATTTCAAGTAGAGTGGTTTCAACAATCCAGCCTTTTCGTTCTTCTATTGAAATTGAAGAGGATGAAAAAAAATCAATCCCCTTGATAATTAAAGTGGATATTCTTTCCCTGTGAGATTAAATCATTCATATTAAGTCTACTTCCTGATTTGCCATGATTTTAGAGCCTATATCTGAAAACTGCCCATTTGAAGCAGGAATGACCAGCTTTAATGGGACAAAGGAGTCTATATCCAGGTTTGGAGAAACATTTACCCCAATTGAGCAAATGAAGTATCAACATTCTCTTAACCATAACAGTAAAAAGGCTTTGTACATGAACATCAGATGATCCTAAAGAAAGCAAGGGACTACTTCAAAAAGTGTACAGTAAAGATGGGAAAAGAGATATGTGGGTATCAGAAGATATCAGAACCTGTTGCCACATGGAAAAGGATTTGTTTATTTTAATTCAGTTCAAGTCAGAGCAAGTTATCCTAATACTGTTAAATGGCCTTAAATAATAAGTGCTGAATTTGGGGGAGGACATAAAGAACATTAAAAAAACCTGAGTGCTGCTTCATTAAAATCCATTATTAGTTTTTTTCTGCACATGAAAAGAGAAAAACTACAGATCAATGTCTAGACTGACTGCCCACTTCTTTTGCTAGCATAATCTGTTTACTATGAAGAAAAATTAAATCAGCTCTTGAAGAAAGGGACTAGAACTTGTAGGCCTGAAAATGGAGCCAGGAATGAGAAAATTTTTCATTCATGAAGACTTCAATCTATAGGAAAATAAAACCAGTGTAATCACACAAAAAAGCTTTTTTTTACATATAACTAGTACAAATAAACATGTTGATAACTATTCTGAGGGGTTTTGTTGCACTAAGCATCATGCACAGATGAAAATGTAAAAACCAAAAAGCAACCTTGGGTTGAAAGGTAGAGACAAAGTACTTTTATAACTACAAAAAAAAAAGAGCAAGAGAGAAATAACAGTAGTCATGCCTACATGATACAGAAATAGTTGCAAATGTGCTGACCTTATCTTAACCACCGGCAGATGGTTTAAAAATCTTCTAGTCCATTCTCTACGTCTGCGGCTTTATTCCTGTCCTGCCCCTAGGTTCTTCAGAACCATTTTTTTTTAATATTCCATATATATGTGTTAGCATACAGTATTTGTTTTTCTCTTTCTGACTTACTTCACTCTGTATGACAGACTCTAGGTCCATCCACTACAAATAACTCAATTTCATTTCTTTTTATGGCTGAGTAATATTCCATTGTATATATGTGCCACACCTTCTTTATCCATTCATCTGTTGATGGACACTATGTCCTGGCTATTGTAAATAGAGCTGCAATGAACATTGTGGTACATGACTCTTCTTGAATTATGGTTTTCTCAGGGTATATGCCCAGCAGTGGGATTGCTGGGATGTATGGTAGTTCTATTTTCAGTTTGGGTTTTTTTTATTGTTTTTTTTTTGCGGTACATGGGCCTCTCACTGTTGTGGCCTCTCCCGTTGTGGTGCACAGGCTCCGGATGCGCAGGCCCAGCGGCCATGGCTCACGGGCCCAGCTGCTCCACGGCATGTGGGATCTTCCTGGACCAGGGCACGAACCTGTGTCCCCTGCATCAGCAGGCGGACTCCCAACCACTGCGCCACCAGGGAAGCCCCTATTTTCAGCTTTTTAAGGAAACTCCATACTGTTCTCCATAGTGGCTTGAGGACACGGGGAGGGGGAAGGGTAAGCTGGGACAAAATGAGAGAGTGGTAATGGACATATATGTACTACCAAATGTAAAATAGATAGCTAGTGGGAAGCAGCCGCATAGCACAGGGAGATCAGCTCGGTGCTTTGTGACCACGTAGAGGGGTGGGATAGGGAGGGTGGGAAGGAGACACAAGATGGAGGAGATATGGGGATATATGTATATGTATAGCTGATTCACTTTGTTATAAAGCAGAAACTAACACACAATTGTAAAGCAAGTATACTCCAATAAAGATGTTAAAATTAAAAAATCTTCTAGAACAAGAGAATAAAGTTTAAGTGTGTTACAACACATTATGTATAAAGTCTTTAGGTATTTCATAACTCAATAATATGGTTACGGTACTTTAGTATAATGGCCTAATTTATGCTATTTTCTTTCTAAATTGGTGAACAAAAGTTCAGCATTGGCACAGACAGTGGAAATTAAAAATTCTAAAACAAGTTCTTGATGAAAATTGAGTTTATCATCTCAAGCAAAGTAAATCTAGACCACGTCACACACATCTACATTCTTTTACTTTGTCATCAGTTTTCAAAATCAAGATCAAGTGTGGCAAATATACATATCAAAGCCCACGAAAACATTCTGTAGACTGTAAATTTTGGTTTCCAGTGTTAAAAATTGCACACATGCTTTCATGAACATAACGACAAATGCCTGATTTAAAACCTGAGCAGTAAAAGTCAATCTGTATATGCAGATCTTTGGTCACTAAGGGAAACAGTTAAGTACTCAAGTATGTAATTCCACCCTCTTGTAGTTATCTACCCTCCTATTATAGCATTCAAAATCCTCTGTACCCATTCCTGTTTAAAGTGGTACTGGGATTTCCCTGGTGGCACACTTGTTAAGAATCTGCCTGCCAATGCAGGGGACACAGGTTTGAGCCCTGGTCCAGGAGGATCCCACATGCTGCAGGGCAACTAAGGCCGTATGCCGCAACTACTGAGCCTGCGGTCTAGAGCCCGTGAGCCACAACTATTGAGCCCGCGCGCTACAACTACTGAAGCCCGTGCGCCTAGAGCCCGTGCTCTGCAACAAGAGAAGCCACCTCAATCAGAAGCCTGCGCACCACAACGAAGAGTAGCCCTGGCTCGCTGCAACTAGAGAAAGCCAGCATGCAGCAACAAATACCCAACACAGCCAATAATAAATAATTAATTAATTAAAAAATAAAATAAAATAAAGTGGTACTGACTTGTAGAATCTCTGTGGGGAGAGAAACTTCCTAATTTTGATATAAATGTTTACATAGTTCCAGCCCCATATCCTCCCCTGGTGGACAATAATGTTTTCATAGCCGCAACCAACAAGATAGGCACCATGGGGGAATTCCCTGGCGGTCCAGTAGTTAGGACTCGGCGCTTTCACTGCCGTGGCCCATGTTCAAGTCCTGGTCGGGGAACTAAGATCCCACAAGCCAAACGGCCAGCCGAAACAAAAAAAAAAGATAGGTACCATGGGCCTCTGCTCTCTAGTCAACATGACACAGGCTGCCCAGTGGGAGGGAAACTCTCTCTGCAGCTATGGCGACAGCTGCCACCAGGAAGCTAGGGCTCTCTGCTCCCCTCCAGAGATGGCACTGACGAACATTTTTAAGTCAGGCACTCTTAAGTTGGGGCCCTTTATTGTGCCTTTTTCTGAAAACATGCAGCCAGTACAGACTTTTTAGTACTGACTTTAAACAGAAATGCATTCATTCCATTTTCAGAACAGCTCTCTGTACCTGACACCAACTTGTATATGGTTCGCAATAATGTCGGAGATGGGAGATGCTTTCTTCAAGTTGGGTCCTTGGCTCTTCCACATATTTAGACTGACCCTCAGGAACAGAGTAGAGTGAAAGCTGCAAAGATTGAAAAACAAAATAAAAAGAAATTAAGAAGTGTATACAGTAATGAAATAACAATCAATTATTAAATTTGTAATAATTCACAAACTACAATGAATAAGGGTTATGTGCACCCTGAACCTTGCTTCAGACGATCTTTGCACCTTAATCAATAAGGACAAGGCCAAGAGAGCAGGGCTATGAGGTGTCCTAGCCTCCCCCAACCCTACTCATAGCAGATAAAGCAGTCCCCTTTTACCCATTTTATATATTAGTATTTGTTATTTCATCTTAGATTTAGTTTGGAAAAAGGATTCTATTACTCTAAATGGTGGGTCGGAGGTGGGATAGGAAAAAAAAGCTTGAGGATAACTGAAGAGCATATGACTTAGTTCTAGTGATCAGTCTAGTGCTAATCAAAGCAGAATAGCAGGTTTGTTCCCCACCAGAGAGGAAACGTTTCACAGCCACCACTGGCTGCCTTCTTCACCCTCAAAAATGCCACTGTCCCAAGGCCTGAGAAGAAGAGAGTAAAGGGCAAAAAAACAAGCTATTTAGCTTTAGGTAAACACCATTCAAGTAACCCTGACCATAACTGAAGGTAGATCTTTATGACACTTTACTCAAAGTCAAAAGAAACCAAATATCTAAAATAATCAGTGGGAAGTATAGACAAAAAGGAATGTAAACAATGGAGAGATGATTTCCTGTTTTATTTATTTAGGATTTATTAAGCATCTACTTATGAGCCTCTAATCCAGCCAAGAAGCAGGATGAACCCTGGTCTTTAATTTCTTAGGAGAGGGAAAAATGTGAATGTTTTCCTGGCTTGATAAGCAGTCTGGAAGCAGGCAGATCACTTAGAAGTGACTTGTGCTTACAATCTACTGGGACAGAGCAGATTCCCCACTAAAAATCTAGGAAATATTCCTTAATTATGCCCTTAGCTAAGTACCGTTAATTAAAGTTGAAAAAGCCATAGTCTAGCAGCTTCTCACAAGGAAGCGCTATTTCCTCCTTTTAAATATCTTCTGAATTGTCCTATCTTCCTGATATTCAATTTGTATGCTTCCCATAGTAACCAAATCACATATACAAAATGTATCACATGTTACCTCATTAACCTTCACAGAAGCTTTGTGAGATGAGTCCTTTTTTGCTGATGCATAGACTTTGAAGGTGAGCAGGCTCAGGCTGGCCGGCCCCACAGACCTCTGAATTACCTGAAACACAGAAACAATCTTAAGCCTTCTCTCAATTCCACAAACTGAAGGTACATAACGTGGGCACATTTGCAACCTCAGCCACTCCTGCCCTGAGAGGCTTATTGTGCGTTATGAGAAATGTATTCCCGAAGTTTTATGGAAGTCAGAAACAAAAGAACATGTTCTCGTGGACTTAAAATTCCAGGTCACCTTTATCTTCATTTCCAAAACAGTAGTTCCTGAGTTTTCTACTTAGCCTTTCAAGGAAAATAAAAAATACACCTCCCCTACCCTCCCCAATAACAACAGGGGAAGGAGCTTTTTTTTTTTTGGCTGCATTGGGTCTTCGTTGCCATGCACAGGCTTTCTCTAGTTGCAGCGAGCGGGGGCTACTCTTGGTTGTGCTGCGCGGGCTACTCATTGCGGTGGCTTCTCTTGTTGTGGAGCATGGGGTTTAGGCGCACAGGCTTCAGTAGTTGTGGCACACAGGATCAGTACTTGTGGCTCTTGGGCTCTAGAGTGCAGGCTCAGCAGTTGTGGCACACGGGCTTAGTTGCTCCGCGGCATGTGGGATCTTCCCGGACCAGGGCTTGAACCCGTGTCCCCTGCATTAGCAGGTGGATTCTTTAACCACTGAGCCACCAGGGAAGCCTGGGAAGGAGTTTTTAATGATCTCACCTAGTGATTCATTGAACAGGGTGAAGATTCTTTCGATAATTCCAATAATCAAACTTTGAGCAGCTCTCCCTTTCCATTCCCACTCAGAACCGCTCTCTCCCAGCCTCAGTTCCCAAACTCAGTCTCTTTCTGTGCCTTGCTCTCCCTGACTAGGTCACTCATGCCCATGGCTTCAACATGAAGCGTGATCCCTAGATATGCAGCTCCAGCCCAGAGCTCTCTCCTGAGTTCCCAACTCATTTATCCTATTACTTCTGGACATTTCCACTTGGATGGGACACAAGCTCCCTACACCAAGAATACCCAAAACCAACTCATCAGGATCCTGTCTGTGCCTCCAAGTCTATACTAGGCCTGATAGGTGAATGTGTGCTGTGGAATCTAGAAAGTTTTAAAAGTGACACATTTTAAAAATTAATACACAGCACTTGACCACCTTGCATCCTTACCCCAGAAATGCCCCCTCTTCCTCTACTTCATCTCTCAGGAATGGTGCCACCATCCAACTAGACAACCCAATCGGAAACTCTGAGGTCATCTCCACTGCCTCCCCCCACCATCCTATTGGTCATTAAGTCCTGTTAATTCTGCCTATTAAATAAACTTATTCACTCTCTCCTCTTTATCTTCTCCTGTACAATCTTCCCTTGGGCCCTTGTTTCTTTCCTGGATTGTTTCAACAGCTTAATTCTAAATGTTCACCTGGCCCTCTGATGACTCAAACCACCACAATGCAAAAGAATGATCTTTCTGAACTGCAAACCCGAGTATCTTCTATCCTTATTTGAGATCCTTTGCTATTCATTACCTAGGACTTTTATGTGAGCCAAACAAGGCCCATTTATGATCTGACCCCAACCACCTTCTTAACTTCATCTGTCACTCTGCCTTTTCCCACAAAACTTGAACTCCCTATATTTCTCCCATGCTGCTTCCCAGCCTCATGGGTTCACACATGCTGGTTCCTCTGCCTAGAATGTTCCATATTTGCTTTGCCTTTCTGCACAATTGCCTAAGAGCATGGAGACTTATTGCTTTTCTTTTCTTATTTATCCATTTATTTATGTCTATCAAGTTCCCCCTCCCAAACTGGAAGCCCTTTCAGGATGTGGCTGTGTCTTACCCTGTATTCCTCATGTCTATAACTGTGCCTAACACATAAGAAATGCTCAAGAACTGTTTAATGCCTGCATGAATGGACAGAGAGAGGCAAAAAATAAATGACTGGTTGACTTGTTCTAACTACTTAGGCATGATTTGGCATCACAGAAATCATATTCCCGAGATCTGCAGTGCCCGTAATGTGAAAGACTTCGCTACTCTGTAATACTCACAAAACATATAATGCTAAATAAAATCTAAAAAGGTCTGTTGAAATGTATGCCTTGGGCTTCCCTGGTGGTACAGTGGTTAAGAATCCACCTGCCAATGCAGGGCACATGGGTTCAAGCCCTGGTCCGGGAAGATCCCACGTGCCACGGAGCAACTAAGCCCATGCGCCACAACTACTGAGCCTGAGCTCTAGAGCCCGCGATCCACAACTACTAAGCCCAGGCACCACAACTACTGAAGCCCGCACACCTAGAGCCCGTGCTCCGTGACAAGAGAAGCCACTGCAGTGAGAAGCCCGCGCACTGCAATGAAGAGTAACCCCCACTCGCCTCAACTAAAGAAAGCCCGCACGCAACAACGAAGACCCAATGCAGCCAAAAAAAATGAATAAAATAAAAAAATTTTTTAAAATGTATGCCTGAAGTCACACACAAAAACAGAAATACCCATATTTCAGAAGCAAATAAAGAGCTAGAAGCTATTTTTAAAAGGAGTGGTTATTACTTAAACTGGTTTAAAAATAACACACCCTAAAGCATTAAGTGGAATACTTAAAAGATATTTATTTCCAGGCAATATTGCCACTAACTTTTTTTGCCTCCAGGATAAAGGTTAGTGAGCCACTGCTGACAGTCAGTGTGGTCCCTCCCTACTTCCCAGGAGAGGGCCTATGAGGCTGCTGGTATCTACAGGTGCCAACTCACTGCTCTCTGCCTTCTGGGTTTGTCCACAACCTACTGACAACACTGCTTAAACTGGGGACTTTCCACTGAGCCAGCTGGCAGGCACCGCCCCAACTTTGTTTCAGATTCCCTTTCTTACTGTCAATAGCTGGTGCCCCACCCCTTTTCCCACTTCCTCATCCAAGCATTTTGGGTTCATGTTGTCCCCTTTTTCATCCTCATTTGATATAATGCCTTGTGTTGACCTTTTAAATTCTTTTCTTTTTTAATAAATTTACTTATTTTTGGCTGCGTTGGGTCTTTGTTCCTGCATGCGAGAGCTCTTTGGTTGTGGCGAGCGGGGGCTACTCTTCGTTGCGGTGCGCAGCTTTCTCATTGCAGTAGCTTCTCTTGTTGTGGAGCATGGGCTCTATGCGTATGAGCTTCAGCAGTTGTGGCTCATGGGCTCCAGAGTGCAGGCTCAGTAGGTGTGATGCACAGGCTTAGCTGCTCACTGCATGTGGGATCTTCCCGGACCAGGGATTGAACCCGTGTCCCCTGCACTGGCAGGCGCATTCCTAACCACTGCGCCACCAGGGAAGTCCCCAGATACCTTTTTGAGTTAGTGTTTTTGTTTCCTTTTGATATATTCCTGGAAGTGGAATTGCTGGATCATATGGTAGGTCTATTTTTAATTTTTTTTGAAGAACCTCCATACTGTTTTCCATGGTAGCCGCACCAATTTACAATTCCATCAGCAGCGCACAAGGGTTCCCTTTTCTCCATATCCATGCCAGCATTCATCTCGTCTTTTCTTTTTTAACATATATATTTATCTACTTATTTTATTATTTATTTTTGGCTGCGTCGGGTCTCAGCTGCAGCATGCAGGCTCTTCGTTGCGGTGCGCAGGCTCTTCATTGCAGGGTGTGGGCTTCTCTCTAGTTGTGGCGTGCAGGTTTTCTCTCTCTAGTTGTGGCTCTCAGGCTCCAGAGTGTGTGGGCTCCGTAGTTTGCAGCATGCATGCACAGTAGTTGTGGCGCGTGGGCTCAGTTGCCCCACAGCATGAGGGATCTTAGTTCCCTGATCAGGGATCGAACCCACGTCCCCGCATTGGAAGGCAGATTCTTAACCACTGGACCACCAGGGAAGTCCCTCATCTCTTGTCTTTTTGATGATGGCCATTGTAACAGAGGTGAGGTGGTATGTCATGGTGGTTTTTCTTTTTAAAGAAGGTGTTCGGGTAGGAGTTTATTAATTTATTTATTTTTGCTGTGTTGCGTCTTTGTTTCTGTGAAAGGGCTTTCTCTAGTTGTGGCAAGCGGGGGCCACTCTTCATCGCAGTGCGCAGGCCTCTCTCACTATGGCGGCCTCTCTTGTTGCAGAGCACAGGCTCCAGACGGGCAGGCTCAGTAGTTGTTGCTCACGGGCCCAGTTGCTCCACGCCATGTGGGATCCTCCCAGACCAGGGCTCGAACCCGTGTCCCCTGCATTAGCAGGCAGATTCTCAACCACTGCGCCACCAGGGAAGCCCCATGGTGGTTTTAATTTGCATTTTCCAAAAGACTTGTGATGTTGAGCATCTTTTCATGTACCTTCTGGCCTTTTGTATATCTTATTTGGGGAAATGTCTACTCAGGTCCTTTGCCCATTTTTTAATTGGGTTATTTTTTGTTTGTTTTTTGCTATTGAGTTGTATGTGTTCTTTATATACTTTAGATATTAACCCCTTATCAGATATATGGTGTGCAAATATTTTTTTCCTGTTCTGTAGGTTGTCTTTTCGCTTTGTTGATGGTTTCTTTTGCTGTGCAGAGGTTTTTCAGTTTGATGTAGTCTCACCTGTTTATTTTTTATTTTGCTGCTTGTACTTTACGTGTCATTAATTTCTACTTTATTTTTCCCTCTTGTCCATTTTTCTAGTTTTAATATTATGCTAAGACTGCCCTTTTATTGCCCAAGTTGTTTTCTTCATCTCCCTCTTCTCCTGTTAGTCACTCCCATTCCACAGCAAGAACTGTGGCCACAAGGGTGGTAGCACTCAAGAAAGGTCCCTCTTGCAGTTGCCCTTTCCGTTTCCTGCAAGCCCTCAACAAACAAAGCAAACAAAAACCAAACATAAAACAAACCTCATCCCCAGAGACTTGGGAGATCCAGAGATTAACACTCCCCAGGGCCACAATTCTCTCTGCAGAGGTATACTTCAGGGTTTATCAATCTCAGCACTGTTGACATTTTGAGCTGGATCATCCTTTGTTGGGAGGCTGTCCTGTGCACTGTAGGAGGCTTAGCAGCATCCCTGGCCTCTACCCACTAGATGCCACTGCCAACCACTCCCAGCCATAA